GGGGGCGGAGTTGGGGCAGGGCCGGGGCCCCGTGGAGTGTCCTCTTTCCGCAGGATTGAAATATGGTAAGCCTACCTTTGAGACCCCAGGAGGGGCAAAATGCCAGCGACCAGGCTGGAGGGCCAAGCCATGTGGCAGCACAAGAAAGAGAGCCCCTTCCCCTCCCGAGTCCTGGAATGTGAGGGGTGCGGACACGAGGCGGAGGGGGGAGCCCAACCAGGCCGAGCTAGTCGGATATCCCCAGATCCAGCCGCAGGAGGAGCCCGCCATGGAGAGGAAGCCATTTGCCCGCGGTCAGATGGGGATTCTGTAGCAGAGGAGGGACGGTTGCAAGCTCACCGACTAATCCTTCCAGCCCTTTAGAAGATCCATGTGGACGATTCAAGGCTAGAAAACCTGCCGTACAGTGAGAGGCTCAGTCTGATCAGCTCCACACAGAGCAGGTTTGGGGGTGACGTGATCCCCGTCTATCAGTATCTACCAAGGAAACCAATATTTCATAATGGGCTCTTTGATCTCGCAGAGGACGGTCTAACCCAGTCTAACTGCTGGGAGTTGAAGCCAGACAAATTCAGACTGGAACACATTCCAAAATGAAACATTTTGCAGAAGACAAAATCCATTATTTGCATTTGAGACGAGCAGAGGAAATGCCAATTTTCTCCCATTTTTTTCCTTATTGGACAAAAAAACAGGCAAAGATTTTTTAAAAGGTGAGAAAAACGCCCCATTTCCTTGCAGTTATTTATATTTTCCCACTGGGAAAGATGTAAAAGAGTGAGAAAAATTGTTTAAACAGCCTTAAAAACTTTATTCCTGTTTTTCTGCTGGGAAAAAGATTTTGTTGCATTCCTGACTTTTCAAGTCTACACACACACACACACACACATTCTTTTCCAGTGAAAAAAGGTTTTGTTGAGATCAAAGTCTTTCACTATTTTCCATTTTCCCAGGAAAAAAAGGTTTTGTTACATTTGAAATTGTTCACTTTTTTATTCTGTTTTTCAGGAAAAAAATGTTTTTGTTGAGTTACACTTTTTTACCTCATTTTTCCAGTAAAACAAATTTTGAGTAATTTTTTTTCACTTTCCCCCCCCCTTTTCTCGGGTGAAAAAAACGATTTTGTCACATTCAACGTTTTTCACTTTTTTACCCCATTTTTCCAGGAAAACAAATTTGAGTTAATCCCCCCCACACTTTTTTTTTCTAGTGGAAAACGTTGGGGGGAGGAAAGCTTTTCAAAAGGGAGAGAAAGTGAAGGAGAAACACCCCACGCCCATTTTCTCTCACGTTTTAGACTTTTGGGGAGAGGGTTGACTTGAAAATTGAAAAAAAAATGAAATGAAAATGCAAAAGGAATGCTGGGAAAGAGGTCGGTTTTGAGCATTTTCATCAAAAAATGGGGAACAGAAGTGAAAAAAATTTCCAGCGGAATTTAAAAAATACGCAATTTTCTTTCCAAGTTATTGACGGAGGGAAAAAACCCTCATGAGCGGGAGCACAGGATGCGCAGGCCAAGGGGGGAAGGAGATGCTGAGGCTCAAGGGAGAAGCACCTGGTTTATTCTGGGGTCCCAGCCCGAAGCAGTTGGGGGCTCAGTTTGCCCACATGGTGGCCTGCAGCCAGTCGTGGTATTTACAGATGTTCATGTAAACGCCGGGTTTCAGGGTGGAGACACAGGGCACGTCGCCCCAAGACACGATACCCTGCAGCTTCCCGTTACACACCAGCGGGCCGCCGGAGTCGCCCTGAGGAACCCACAGGGAAAGTGTCAGAAAATGAAGACAGGACACGTGGGGTCACAGGAGAACCCCCTCACCCCACACACCCGACCCCTCTACCCCCCCCCATCTCCCCCCTCAGTGCCCCCCCCAGAGATGCCCTCTTGCCCCACAGACCAGCCCCCTACACCTCCCCATCGCATCCCCTCAGTGACCCCCCCAGAGATGCTCCCTCACCCCACAGACAAGCCCCCTCCACTGTTCCATCACACCCGCTCAGTGACCCCCCCCCAGAGATGCCCCCTTGCCCCACCGACCAGCCCCCTACACCTCCCCATTGTACCCCCTCTGGAACCCCCCAGAGACACCCCCTCGCCGCACAGACCAGTCTCCTTCACCTCCTCATTGCACGCGCTCAGTGACCCCCCAGAGATACCCCCTCGCCCCATAGATCAGCGCCCTGCACCGCCCCATCGCACGCGCTCAATGACACCCCAGAGACTCCCCCTCACCCCACAGACCAGCCTCCTGCACCTCCCCATCG